CTAGTTTAATCTGGCAAAGCTCTCAATAAATGCTGATTATTTTGCAGGAGTCAGTTGTGGGTTTTTATTTTAGGTCTGGTGTACTATTGAGTAATTTTTATCCTTTTTATTTTTGGTCCGTATGCAACCAGAACTCGTTATAAAATAATATCTTCTATTTATAAAATAAAAAGAACAGAGAAAACACACTTAAGTAACTTATGTGAACAAATGGGGTCTTCCTCCTTCCATTTAGTCTTTATGGTATGCGCATTGCACAGCTGCCAACAGAAAAATCCCCACTAGCAATGAGACTTCATATAATAAGATACCAATAGTACCGATTTTCTTTTCTTTTTTTTTTATAAGTAGTTATATCCGAACATTGTATTTGAAGCAATGAAATCGTAGAATTTGCTCAACAAACAAAAATCAACATCAATACAACCACAAAAACTATGAAGACATACTAGTGTTAAAATTTGTAATGTTATTATATGGAAAATATTTGTTTTAGACAGCTAGAAAACTTTCACGACGACAGATGATGAAGGATGTCAATGGACACAAACTTGAATCATTAATGGTCGTTTCAGAATGTCTTAGGTTTTTAAAAAATGATTTTCTAAAAAATTTGCATGAGAATGTGAACTTTGTTGAGATGAAAGACATACACTGGGTCCTAACTGTCCCAGCTATCTGGTCTGACCAAGCTAAACAGTTCATGAGACAGGCGGCCAATCAGGAAAATACTAAACACACTCGGTCCTAACTGTACCAGCTATCTGGTCTGACCAAGCTAAACAGTTCATGAGACAGGCAGCCAATCAGGTAATACTAAACACACTCGGTCCTGACTGTACCAGCTATCCGGTCCGATCAGGTCAACAGTTCATGAGACAGGCAGCCAATCAGGTAAATACTAAACACACTCGGTCCTAACTGTACCAGCTATCTGGTCTGACCAGGCTAAACAGTTCATGAGATAGGCAGCCAATCAGGTAAATATTAGACACATTAGGTTCTGACTGTACCAGCTATCTGGTCTGACCAAGCTAAACAGTTCATGAGATAGGCAGCCAATCAGGTAAATATTAGACACACAAGGTTCTGACTGTACCAGTTATCTCATCTGACCAGGCTAAACAGTTCATGAGACAGGCAGCCAATCAGGTAAATATTAGATACACTGGGTTTTATCTATACCAGCTATCTGGTATGACCAAGCTAAACAATTCATGAGACAGGCAGCCAATCAGGTAAATAATAAATACACTCGGTCCTGACTGTACCAGCTATCTGGTCTGACCAGGCTAAACAGTTCAAGAGACAGGCAGCCAATCAGGTAAATATTAGACACACTGAGTTCTAAGTGTACCAGCTATCTGGTCTGACCTAGCTAAACAGTCTATATAATAGGCAGCCAATCAGGTAACTATTAGACACACTTGGTCCTTACTGTACCAGCTATCAGGTCTGACCAAGCAAAACAGTTCATGAGACAGGCAGCCAATCAGGTAAATATGAGACACACTCGGTTCTGACAGTACCAGCTATCAGGTCTGACCAAGCTAAACAGTTCATGAGATAGGCAGCCAATCAGGTAAATACTAAACACACTCGGTCCTAACTGTACCATTTATCTGGTCTGACCAAGCTAAACAGTTCATGAGACAGGCAGCCAATCAGGTCAATATTAGACACACAAGGTTCTGACTGTACCAGCTATCTGGTCTGACCAGGCTAAACAGTTCATGAGACAGGCAGCCAATCAGGTAAATATTAGATTCACTGGGTTTTAACTATACCAGCTATCTGGTCTGACCAAGCTAAACAGTTCATTAGACAGGCAGCCAATCAGGTAAATACTAAACACGCTCGGTCCTGACTGTACCAGTTATCTGGTCTGACTAGGCAAAACAGTTCATGAGACAGGCAGCCAATCAGGTAAATATTAGACACACTGAGTTCTAACTGTACCAGCTATCTAGTCTGACCTAGCTAAACAGTTCATATAACAGGCAGCCAATCAGGTAAATATTAGACACACTTGGTCCTTACTGTACCAGCTATCAGGTCTGAACAAGCAAAACAGTTCACGAGACAGGCAGCCAATCAGGTAAATATTAAACACACTCGGTTCTGACAGTACCAGCTATCAGGTCTGACCAAGCTAAACAGTTCGTGAGATAGGCAGCCAATCAGGTAAATACTAAACACACTCGGTCCTAAATGTACCATCTATCTGGTCTGACCAAGCTAAACAGTTCATGAGACAGGCAGCCAATCAGGTCAATATTAGACACACTCGGTTCTGACTGTACCAGCTATCTGGTCTGACCAAGCTAAACAGTTCATGAGACAGGCAGCCAATCAGGTAAATATTAGAAACACTCGGTTCTGTTTCTACCAGCTATCTGGTCTGACCAAGCTAAACAGTTCATGAGACAGGCAGCTAATCAGGTAAATATTAGAAACACTCGGTTCTGACTCTACCAGCTATCTGGTCTGACCAAGCTAAACAGTTCATGAGACAGGCAGCCAATCAGGTAAATATTAAACAAATTCCGTCTTGACTGTACAAGCTATCTGGTCCGATCAGGCTAAACAGTTCATGAGACAGGCAGCCAATCAGGTAAATATTAGACACACTAGGTTCTGCCTGTACCAGTTATCTGGTCCGATCAGGCTAAACAGTTCATGATACAGGCAGCAAATCAGTTAAATATTACATACACTCGGTTCTTACTGTACCAGCTATCTGGTCTGACCAGGCTAAACAGTTCATGAGACAGGTAGCAAATCAGGTAAATACTAAACACACTCGGTCCTGACTGTACCAGCTATCTTGTCCGATCAGGCTAAACAGTTCATGAGACAGGCAGCAAATCAGGTACTTCTAGTAGATACTAAACAAACTCGGTCCTGACTGTACCATCTATCTGGTCTGACCAGGCTAAACAGTTCAAGAGACAGGCAGCCAATCAGGTAAATATTAGACACACTGGGTTCTAACTGTACCAGCTATCTGGTCTGACCTAGCTAAACAGTTCATATAACAGGCAGCCAATCAGGTAAATATTAGACACACTTGGTCCTTACTGTACCAGCTATCAGGTCTGACCAAGCAAAACAGTTCATGAGACAGGCAGCCAATCAGGTAAATATTAGACACACTCGGTTCTGACTGTACCAGCTATCTGGTCCGATCAGGTTAAACAGTTCATGATACAGGCAGCAAATCAGGTTAATATTAAATACACTCGGTCCTTACTGTACCAGCTATCTGGTCTGACCAGGCTAAACAGTTCATGAGACAGGCAGCCAATCAGGTAAATATTAAACAAACTCGGTCCTGACTGTAACTGCTATTTGGTCCGATCAGGTTAAACAGTTCATGAGACATGCAGCAAATCAGGTAAATATTGAACACACTCGGTCTTGACTGTACCAGCTATCTAGTCCAATCAGACTAAACAGTTCATTAGACAAACAGCAAATCAGGTACATATTAAACACACTCGGTCCTGACTGTACAAGCTATCCGGTCCGATCAGGCTAAACAGTTCATGAGACAGGCAGCAAATCAGATGAATATTAAACACACTCGGTCCTGCGTGTACCAGATGTCTGGTCCGATCAGGCTAAACAGCTAACGAGACAGGCAGAAAATCAGGTAATTGTTTATACATTCAAGCAGCAGACTGCGTCAACTATCTTCTCCAATTAGTTTTAGCAATACCCGAGACTGGCACGATTACATTGTGGTCCTTATGGTTAAAGATGTCACACACAATAGAAGGAATGAGATTGACAGCAAATCAGGTATAAGGAATGAGATAAACAGCAAATCAGATATAGGCAATGAGATCATAGACTCCCAATCAGGTATAAAGGGATGATATTGACAGCCAATCAGCTAAAAGGAATGAGATAGATAGCCAATCAGGTATAAGGAATGAGATAGACAGCCAATTAGATAAAAGTTATACAAACTGGTTTCTTACTTGGCCAAATATCTCTTTTTATCAGACTGTGTTGATCAATGTAGGAAGCAGGCATGTGTTTAAAACCCTAGGTCATGACAGTTCATGAGACAGACGATGAATGGTATGTCAATCGCATTTCCACATTGAAATTAAATAGAAGATACAGTCGTTTGTATGTACTGATTATTATTTTTGTATAGATAAACTTGACACGTGTTGGTCATTTGACAGAAATTTTGTGTTGATAGTTTCTGTAAAATTCACTACCTTTACAATCTTTGAAAAGAACTAGATCCTAGATTCAATGCGATTTAACGTTTAATGTGTCTATAGTATTCTAAGGTTGGTGTCGTACTGAAGTATATATCTAATTTTATTCATTTATAATATGTTTCGTTTGTCGTAAACACAATTCGATTCCTCTTTTCGTCGTTTATTGCGATTACCGAATGAGATATTAAACCGGAACTTGAATTGTAATTAGGAAAACGATGGGAGTAACTAGTGGATAAGGAATTACTTATCCTTCTGGAGCAGCTTCTTTCAATTCAGTTTTATTTGAAGTTATTTTTGCTCAGATTTTATTAACATGATGTATTCTGCTGAAAACTTTTGTCTATGCTTTACTTTTGATTTTTTTGTGTTTGTTTTTGCTTTGGTGTTACATACAAACGCTATGTTAATTTTTCATGCTACTGTAATTAGAATTCGAATGTATAAAATGTTGTACAACCTCAATTCCTATGCATACAGTTTTGATATATAATTTAAGTTTATAATTTTGTATGGGTAGAATTCTTAGAATTTCATTACTTTCCTTTGCAGGCAGGAATTGAAGATTGTCTTTTATCCTTAGCCTATGAACCTGAAGCAGCTGCAATCTATTGTAAAAATATAACGTTACAGAAAAAGGTGGATGGACAGGATACTTCCCTGTAGACATCTGATTCTGGACACTTCCCTGGAGACATTTGATTCTGGACACTTCCCTGTAGACATTTGATTCTGGACACTTCCCTGGAGACATTTGATTCTGGACACTTCCCTGGAGACATTTGATTCTGGACACTTCCCTGGAGACATTTGATTCTGGACACCAGTTTCTTGTTTTAGATTGTGGAGGTCAGTACTAATGTCACCAAAACTAAAGCATCATAGGAACCTAAATCTCTCATCTGAGAATAGTTGGCCATATATTGATATTGAGTTTTGCTTATATAACAATCAAACTAATTTTTAATTAACAAATTGTTAAAAAACTACACCTTACGAGTGTATTAGAGTAAAACAAGAAAAAATACATTATTCTTTTTCAATAATGCCAGTATCACATTTTTTAATAAGGTTTATCTTCCATCCTTCTTTCTACACCTCTCCCCGAGGTATATTTGTGTTTTTTTATTATGCATATTTTGTTGTTTACAATTTCTGTATGTCTGTATTAGCTATCAAAATTATATGAGAAAGCATCAAATATTGGAAAACAATTTTCATATGAGAGCAATTGGTCCTGTATAGAACTACTTATATTGCTGAAGATATTTGCATTTTGGTATTGTCGATCATTTTACTGATAAAAGGCTTCGTCTTTGTAATCATATTTGCGATTATGTCAAAAACTCGTATAATTTGAAGGATTGGTTATACAATGTTTTTTGATGTTATGCTAATTTCTCCGTTAGAAAATCCATTTATCACTGTTTTCAGGATATAGAAAGTTCTTTGCATTTTTTCCATATGTTATTTTATGGGGTCTTAGCTGTGATATGATCACAGGCGTTACCTAAATTAATTGTTTAAACACGTCTACATATATATTTATAACACATCTTGTAGCAAAAGATATTTTTGGGTAATACCTTTGCCGAATGAAAAGATCTCAAAATGAGGCTATTTCGACAGTTGTTGCAGTTTTGCACTAAATGCACAAAATGTGAAGCTTTTTGAAAATTCAAATATATGAAACAACATGAGACAGTGTCAGGCTTATGTTTTTGAACACCTGAAGGATGTTACTATTTGGCATATTTAGAAAATATTTTGATTTTCTCGTTCAAGGGACAAAAAAAAAAACCGTATCTACTTTAGTTCGGGTCTTGAGCTTTTCAATATCAGTTAGTGCAGACATATATGTCGTATTCATGGCAATTTTAAAATGTGTTCAGTTGTGATTTGAAAAACTCCTTTTTATCATTTTAGGTGGCACAGTTGACATTACAGCCTATGAAGTTCAGACAAAGGATAAACTAATTGAACTGTGTCCACCTTCAGGTGGACCATGGGGTGGAACAGAAGTCGATAAGCTGTTCTTAAATTTTGTCAAAGAGGTATTTGGAAAAGCTGTTTGGTGTAACTTTGAAAAATCAAATATGCGCGATTGTCTTGATTTACTTAGAACGTTTGAAGGCCGAAAGAGAGTAATTGGAGCAAATAATGAGGAAAAAGTTCGACTTTTGTTTCCGAGAGATTTATTTGATGAGTATGAGGCTCATACTGGCTCAGAATTTAAATCTGTTTTAGGTGTTACAAAAGCGAGAGATAAATTAATATTTCCGATAGATGTATTAAAAAATCTGTTTAGCCAACCTTTTAATGCAATTACTGCACATGTTAGAGAATTGCTTCGGAAACCCGAACTTCAACAAGTCAGAACGATACTTATGGTAGCTGGGTTTTCCGATTCTGAACTGTTATATCAACATATCAAATCGGAGTTTACGGAAATCAATGTTTTACGCCCTCATGATGCTGTTTCGTCAGTTATGAAAGGAGCAGTAATTATTGGTCATTCGCCAGAAGTAATACCCGAAAGAATTTGCGCGAGAACATATGGCATTGCCTGTAATATTCCCTTTGACTCACAAAAACATCCACCAGAATTACGTCAAGTATGTGACGGAATGGAAATGTGTACTGACAGCTTCTAACCAATTGTAAGAAAAGGAGACACAATTATATTAGGCCAAAGTTGTTTTGAGCGTCAATTCTTACCCACGTGTTCAAATGATAAATCTGCCACCATCGATATTTTCGTCTCACCTGATGATAATCCGAAGTATACATATGGAGGAAGAGGGGATAATGTCAAAAGGTTAGGGTCCCTCCATTTGAATATTCCCGACATAAGTAAAGGTAAAAACAGGCCTATAACAGTCAGAATTACCTATCAAAGCACTGAAATTGTTGTTACAGCTGTAGAAGAAGGGACCAATAATTTAGTCAGTAAACAATTTGACTCTTTAGTGTAAATCTTCAGTTTGTAGCCTGTGTTGCATCATTATATCAAGTTGTAAATTATTCATTGTATGATTTGTATTCAATATAATGAAAGAAAAACAAGATTTACTTGTACGCTATATTAAACAATTGCCAATATCTTGACATACATTTAAACATTGACAATAAGGATCGGTTGAAAACAATACTTTACGACAAAAGAGATGATTTCAGCTTCCCAATTATGAACTTTGTACTTCTATGTTGCAACATTCCACCTGCATGTGGAGTGTACATCTCCCAGTTGATATTCCAGAGCTTGCATTTCCTATCATGATTTCCTTGATAAAGGATAGCTGCTAACAAGGAAGCTATTGGACCAATAGTTTCTGGACCAATAGTTTCAAGTGGTGAAATTAAAATCAATCAATCGAAAAAATTTTCACCGGGTTTGTACTTATATGAGCAACTCAACGAGTGCCATATATGGAACAGGATCTGCTGACCTTTGCGGAGCACAAAAGTTCCACCTGGTTTTTGATGAGGTTCGTGTTGCTCAGTTTTTAGCTTTCTATGTAGTGTTTTGTTTTTTGTATACTATTGTTTGCCTTTTTGTCGTTTTTCGTTTTTTGCCATGACATTGTCAGTCTTTTTTTCGGGTTTGAATATCCGTTTGGTTTCTTTCGCTTGTCTTTTGCTATGACGTCAGTCTGGTCATTTGAGTCTTCAATATATATTTCTAAAAAATATCACTTCTTAAATTAGTTACCGACTGAGTGGGCTCGTGGTAGCTTGCTCACTTCTATTGCATGAAGTCAACAAAATCTTCAAAACTTGTTATTGCTGCTTCCCTGTCATTCTACGGCTTTTAGTTTTTTTTAAGAACAAGGACGAGTCAGCTAAAAGCCTAAATAATGTACACGGGTAAGTTGAAATGTTTCTAAGGAAGACCAATCATTGGTATATTTTTTTAATTCTAGAAAATTAACGAATCAAGCCAGGTTTATCTTTCAGTTAATATAAGACCTACATTTTCTTAAATATGACCACTTTCATAAAGTACGTTGTTTAGATGCGGAGTATTATTGTCCATCAAATTTTGAGTAGTAAGAGTTTTTCCGTTTTTGTATACAAAAATGTATATGATAATGTGTATTACCCCGTTAAATCTACTACCGTATCTCCAAAAAAGTGTATGATATCTTAGTTTCTTAGTTTCCATCCTTTTTTATTTATTTAAGCAATTTATATATAAGTTGCCGATTAAAATCGGTCAGGGATGTAAGTATGTTTTGATTTATAAAACGAACATTGTTGTATATAAAAATGAGGCAATTATCCACTAGAGACCAAATGACGAAGATGTGAGCAACCCATTGTGTTCAATCATGTTCATTTTTGATATTAAACATGTTAAAGGTTCTCCCTAAATTCTTTAGGTACTATGATCGTCCACTTGTTAAAAGTGATTTAAACTTTAAAATCCGGCGCACTTGAAGTGCTTAAAGATAACAATTTATGTCAGGCAGTAAGAAGTGCCTTCCCAAATAGTCGTTAAATAATGTTGTTTACTTTACGTTGTCCTTTTTTCATTTTTTTATGAAATTATACACAAGAGTCTCAAACAAGTTCTGTGAATCAATTCTTTTTTTTCATATTGTAGGGAATATAAATAAATTATTTTAAATATGGAAGAATGCAACTGTTTTTATGTGTTAATATTAAATTTTCATTGTCCAATTTGATACTATTTTATCTCCTTCTAACTGCTGTTACAAATTAATTAAGTCGAGGGCATGTCTAGTAATCACTCCACGCCGTTTAAAGAAGTCTGTTCTTCAAATTAACATTGTTCGACGAAGTAGTCTTGTTTTAAATTTTAAGTCAGTGTCAAGTTTTTGGATAATCATGATTTTGTAAACAAGTGAAACAGTATCTTTTATTTTTTAATCTTCCCAGAAAACACTTCAAATGAAGCCTTCAGGTTTTTTTGTGGCTTATAAAGCAATGATTTCTAATACTTAAAGAAAGGTTATAGAAAAAAGTCGGACGTACATTACAATTTCGCGAAATCAGTATATGACTGTTATTCCAGCCTTTATGCTAACTTTTATATCAGTCTGGGTGTTTATTTTCAAACCCATCTGTCAAAACTTTTTACTGAGCAATAAAGCCAATTGTTTTAGCGACTCTTATCATGAAATTCAAATAAAAGGAATACAAAATATGATAAAAAAAGGGCGCGAATTACTTTAAAGTATTCCGAATCGTCAGCTACACTTTTTAATATTGAAATATTTTTATTTATCTTAAGTTTAATCTTTTTCATTAGTATGTCGAACTATTTGTTTGTAAAACTGATTTTGAATTTTGAGCATGCCCAATAATTTTACATCATAATGTAACAAAGTCATTATATAGCAACGGTTTGAAGAAAGTAGGTCTATCTTGTTTGTAAAGGAGTGTTATGGCTAAACTGTTTTTCATTGCAAAAGTTAAAAACTGATACATTTTGTTATAATGAAATAGTTTCATTTCTTACATCGGTTTCTGCAAAGAGATAAAATAAGTGTGCAGTATTTAGTATCAGCATGGAAAGTGAACAAATATGTATACATGAATTACTAAATTAGGGTGGTCCTGAAGTATCTTTACAACTACAGTCTACGCTAAAACATCTTGGTGTCGGAAATTGCGCTCTATTCTTAAATTTAGAAATTATGTCATTACTGGAAATAGAATTGTTAAATTTAGGTATTTCTGCTTATTTTGCATGTTAATAATTGCATCGGTCGTGAAGTATAGAATCCGGCCTGATATGGCAACGTGAAGAACCTATTTTTCATGCTAAAATGTTAACAATATTATTGATATCTTACTGTACAATTGTATATGTTTTGCAAATATGGTGGCGAATTGGTGACTTAATGACTCGTTTCGTTTGTGTTTTGTTATTTCCTTTGTAACACGTTAAGCAAATAAAAAGGAACACACACAGAGACATAGAAACGAAAAAACCAGGTACCAGATAAATCAAACTAATGGAGGACTATGAAAGTAATAATGTAATATCAATATCGGATTCGGCTGACTGTTTAATGATTGGTTGATTGGTTGATTGTTTAAAGTCAAGTGGCAAATATTTCATGCATATTAAAGATGAGAACATTTATTATATATACAATAGATATACTATGCAAGGTAGGTCGTACATGATGAAGGTCAAAAACTTTGAGCTACCGGTACCACTGCATATAAAATGAGGGTTTGTTGGATAGAAACCGACATTTTGCCGTCCTTGTTGCAAGGAGTCTTTAACACACAGAGACAGACATCTGATTAAACGTCCCCTCCGACAGAACTTGGCTTGTATTTATAGATCCTGCATTAGTTACCTCTAAGAGAGTCTGTTGACCTTTCTTTAGAATAAAGGCTTACAATGTCATGTCGGAGACGAGCTTCAGCTTGCCCCTACATAATAAAACCTGTTCAGCAAAAGGACGCCACACTAAACTCCGAAACATACAAATGAACCAAAATTTAAAAAAAAAAAACACACACACAAGGAAGACTAGATCAATATAGTTGATAATTTTTCTATGTTGTATAAATTAGAGTAGTATAGTGAACCAATGTTCAAATCTCATAAAACTATTTAACTACAACAACAACTTCGACCCTAAAAGGCTATAAATGAACTATAGAAACATATTTGAATCTTCAAATCCATTTTATACGTTTCTCCTTATGACAAAATTAAACTTTGCTGAATCGATATATTCTACATTTGAGCGGTTCAGTTATATGGAATGAAGTCTTTTTCGTGCGCTTGCAGAATCTTTCATTAACTGATTTCTTTTTTCAAATGTTTCCAATGATGATTTCCGTCTTTCCAAACCAGCAGCTAATGTGTCATTTCTAATACTGAAACTTTTTGTCGAGTCTAATACGACTAGATAGGTATTGTGTGGGACAGTATATGAGTTGATTGTGTCATCGCTGTTTCTGACGATAACATTGCCTTTTTCATCATGCGTTCTTTTTTCTTTGCAAATGTCATAAAAATGAATATCCAGTTTCGTGTTATCTACATAATCATAACTGAAGTGGTCGATTACAGGACATGACATAGGATACTCGTATAAACTTGAATCACTTTCCGACTCTATATTTGGTTCTCGCGGACTAAGAGAGTTTAGTGAAACTATTGCATGTGTAGATGAAACCATCTGCATACTGTTGCTTAAGCGTCTGCAAAAGTAATATTAAGTATAAAATAAATGACTCTTGAACAATTCAGAAACTTTTGTTTTTTAACGAGACAATATATATATTATTGACTCCGTTATAGCGTGGTTTTTTTCACCATTTATAATGTAGTTTGAGTACATTGTTTACATTTTGTGTCTGTTTAGTCGTCATCTCATATTATCAAGCAGGAATTATTTCACTAAATTTTGCATAAAAATAGTATTGCAGTAAGAGCAAAGCCAGTAAACCACCGCGTCAGTTGTTGATGTATGTCATATCTGTGTATTTTTAATTTTCTAATTGAAGAATTGCTTGTTTTTATCAGGAATTGAATTTATTTATGCACAATTGTAATGGACTTTAGAGTTTGTCATATTGCATAGACACCTGTCTTTAATTAAAAACTGTGTTGCCGCCTTCATGTGTCTTTTAATTATTTTGTGTTATTGTCAAATTAAGCTATCACCCCTATTGTTAATAAGATTTATCTGACTTCATTACCTTGTTAAAGATTCGTCAATAATGGTAGGTAATGGAACTGAAAAAAAACCACAAAAGAATAACAACAACACAAATAATAATACCGATTTCCTTTAGTTCTGTCTTAAATTGCAATATTAACTAATTTTATCTCGCGAAACTATTTCAATGTCGTTTATAGGTAATATACATATGGCCAAACGGAGGGGTTCATTACTATCCTTTTATGTAGGCATTTGTCCAATAGTTCATGTTGGAGCCTTTTATAGCCTACTATACAGTATGGGTTTCTCTCATTGCTAAATGTCGTACGGTTGCCAATAATTTCTGACATCCACTTCATTTGAACTTTGGTGGATAGTTGTCTTTTTGGCAATCATACCGCATGAAATTGTCCTTATTTTTATAATGTTCGAATCGTTTGTCCCTATCCAACAGCTGTTGTACAGGCATGTCGTTTGTTGTTGTATATCATACTTGTTTTTCGTTTATTGTTTTGTACATAAATCAGACCTTCAGTTTCTCGTTTTAATTGTTTTATATGTATCCTGTTAGGGTCTTCCATAGTTTGCTATGCGATATGGATTTTGCTCAGTATCGATGGCCGTGCGGTGACCTACAGTTGCTGACGTTAACGTCATTCGGTCTTTGGTGTAAAGTTGTCTCATTGTCAGTCATAGCACAACTTTTTATGTAACTAACTTTTGCATCTAGAATCATTATTTTAAGGTAATTCCTCTCGTTATAGAGAGCAATGTTCGAAGTCTTTTCCCCCTGAAATAGGCTAGTACAATGTCTTCGGATTCAGGTTTCCAATATATATCATTTGTTTTTAATTCTGGTCGACCTCGACTATCAGTGAGGAAAATAGTTTCAAAATTTTTTTTTCCTTAAAGTTGAAAAACATTGCCTTTAAAAAAATTACACTTTTAATACAAAATCATAGGTTTTCGACACGTTTGTCTTTGCAGTCATACACTGATAATTATGCATTTTTATTGTGATATTATATTACATCCATCCTCCAAAAAGGAACGTCGCAACTGACTTGTTTTGGTGTTTATACATGTATACAAATAGACACTATATAGTATACAGATAAATTACCTGATAACAATGTATTTTGTTTATTATTTCAAGTAAAAGGGTATTATCTACGATTTTGACAATATAAGTTGAAATGATTTAAGTATGTTTTACTTTGTTTCAAATATTTATAAGCACGGACCTATGTTTATGTGTACATGAAGTTCAGCTGAATAAGTGAAATTAAGGTCGAACAGGATGACGGATTTTGTTGAATGTTTTCGACTAGCAAATAAATTAGCCTCATGTAAGTAAATGGAATCGGTGATGTGAATTAGGTCGTTTATCTCTTATTTGAATTTAAAACGAAAACAAATGTCAGTATAATATTACATGTGTTACAAATACCCACATTAAGGACTTTAAAATGACCGCCGATGATTGTGGCTATTCTGGTTATGTCTATTTTGGTCAAAAAGTCTTAACGTTGCACTGTATTTACACACCCTAGCTTTCAATTGTCGTAACTGCAATCCCGACCCCTTTTCCCGAATGTGATCTACCGAATTAGACTCATTACCGGGTTAGTACGAACATGAGCAACACAACGGGTGCCACATGTGGAGCAGGATCTGCTTACCCGTTCAGAGCTCATGAGATCACCCCCAGTATGTTTCGTGTTGCTCGGTCTTTAGTTTTCTATGTTGTATTTTGTGTACTGTTGTTGTCTGTTTCCTTATAAGCCATGGCGTTGTCAGTTTATTTCGACTTATGAGTTTGTTCCTTTGGTATCTTTCGCCTCTCTTTTTCAAATGTTTTACAGATTTGAGCGTTCCTGAGGGTAAACCCAGAGAAGCGCTTTGGAACGCATGGCATTGATAAAGTGTTCATTTCATTATAAAGGACCTATTTGAAATACGCTGTATGGCTTTCATGATTTATCCATGGTTTAAAAAATATTCAGTTGTATTACACATAGGATTATAGAAACTTCAATGATCCATCAAGGGTTCATATCTTACTTTTAATTGATTAATGCGTTTTAAATTGCCCATGTATACCGTTGATATTTTTAATCTGAATATATTGCAATGATTTATTTAATGCAATTGATATTTGTCTGTTTAGATTTAAACTAACTTAGGTCAATAACCAATCTGTAATCTTTCAGTGTCATGTCGATTGTTAATGAGATGATATCTGGTCCCAGAATTTTGATTCCATCCATCTTTAAATTAGATTGGGGAGTTTGGGTGATGTTAGTGGACATGCATTTGGCAGCAAAGGACGCTTAATATGTATTGCTATATTTAACTTCATATATTATACCTGTTAATTCGGCAGTTGTATGGCTTTTCAATTTGTTCTGAACCATAAGGGATCCAATAATGAAAACGAACAAAACAAGCACAGCACAGCTTATGTATATATACAATGAATAAACTTGAAATATACCTACAAAACATTGGACATTATTAAAAGAGAGGCGAAAGGTAGACCTTATTTAGTCATATCTTTTTTCCACATGGATGCATCTATATGATGATAAATGATCGACACAAGGATTTATTTTTCAAAATGCATATATAATTTGTTTTTATACATACTTAATAGACCATTGTTATTTGATATTGTTTTCGTATTTGCAGAATAGTTTCCTCTGTAATCTTTCGAATTTGGTCATTTGATAAAGTATCGTTGTAATACATAGACTGATATATATTTCACCTATGATTTAAATTGAAGCAAATTCTGCACAAATATTAGATTTAACATTACTGCTGCGAATTGAGTTCTGGAAATACGAAATGTGTGTGTTTATTGTGCATGTTAGATCGCGTATATAGATATATAATAACTCTTTAATTAAAGTAAAAGCTATTGGAAAGACGTTTTATACGAACTAATATAACATAGTATTGTCAGAGCAAGACATCCTGACTTTGTTGTCTCATTGGCACTCATACCACATCTTCCTATATCTATTTGAAAAAATGTCCTTAATTTTGAAGACGCAACTATTGCAATGTGACCATTCCCTTTGATTTTATAAACATAAGAAGAATTGGGTATGATTGCTATCCACCAGAGACCAAATGATATAGAAGTTAACAACTATAGGTCAAAGTACTGCCTTCAACAATGAGCAAAACCCATACCGCATAGTCGGTAATAAACGCCACGAAATGAAAAATGTAAAACAATTCAAACGAGACAACTAACGACTTAATTTATGTTCACGAAAATATGCACACGTTACTGTCAATTTTGGGTTTTGTCAATGCATTTAAATGAAGTATTTACTGCAGCTTTCTTTCAAATAGTTAGTGCATTACTAGGCATACCCAGAAAAGAAGTATTCTAAAATTGATATACCCGTAAATTTATTTTGATTCGATTGCACACAATAACAGCTGTTCGGTATATAAAACCATCTTCTACTTAGAAAGGCGTTTTATTTTTGGCATACTTACACAACATCTGTCTAAAGGTATGAAACCCTTAATTCATAGCCCCATTACTTTCTATGTTAAATTCTGCATTTTCAAGCATTAATGGCTACTTTGTCCTAAGTTCAAATAAAGTGGCAGTTATTTCATGTCAAAACTATCCCTTATCCTGACTTGTTTGGGCCCTTTATAGCTTGCTGTTCGGTGTGAGCCAAGGCTCCGTGTTGAAGGCCGTACTTTGACCTTTAATGGTTTACTTTTACAAATTATGACTTGTATGGAGAGTTGTCTCATGGCACTCATACCACATATTCTTATATCTACATATTATGCTGAAAAATTCAACGTACCTTTAATTGCATATTAGAGCGTACTGGTTCCCGGAAGTTTGATAGTAAAAAAACCGGTACTTCTGATCTGAACAACAGGACAAATGTGCCCTCCTATTGAAACTTTATATACTTCTTTAATATTCAAAAGAAACGTTTAACAAGGATTCTACAGTGATCCCAAGTCCCCAAGCATTCGTTTGATACCAAAACTACCTAAATATTTCACCTATTGACAAAGATACAGCTATGCGTAGGAACTATTTTGTTTAAAATATGTACTACTTTCTTGTATGTTCTTTCCGACCTGGTCTAAATTAGTGGTTGTATACCTAAATGATTTGATATTGCGTGCAAATCAAGTATTTTGAGTAAGCGCTTAATACTGTGTTAACAGCTGTCCCTTGTTGCAGACTTAATGTTGACTTATGGAAAGTTTTTATTGCGTCGCAACGCTGCAATCTCTTGACGTTTTACCGATATCTTTTATCTATTTTAATCCCGATAATGGTATATTTATCTACACATTGTTTTTGCATTACCTTTGCCACTTAAAACGGGGTCAGACACTGTGGTAAGTTCTCTTTCGTCTTTAGGTAATATAGCCAAATATTCTTCTCTTGCATTAGTTATATAAAACGGAATTTCAGTGGTTCCATACATATTTTGTAGCTGGCAGATAAAAATATCCTTCTTGGTTAAGTTTCTACTAGTTATTAACACCAATAAATTACCAGGAATATTTACTGAAACACCGTATTTGTTCATACGAATAGATGCCGTGGACGTTGACTGGTTGAATGTATTTGATTCAAAATTTATCTTATACTCAGAGTTCAGTGTGTTATTCATTTTAAGGTACCAAACTGGATCTTTATACACTGACTTGGAATAGAAATACACTGAAATTATCGACAACCAGTGGTCAAACAAAATACTGGTATTTACTACAAACGGTGGACCTGGAAAAAATAACCGTTACGGCTATAAGTGGAATAAATTACTTTTATGTTTATACAACTATTAATCAGTGTGACTTACTTGAAACAGTTATTTAATAGTTCCATTGTTTATTCACCAGATGTAGATTTAAATTCAATTTATAATGTCTCATCAGTACATTTACCGCCAAATTAATCAAAGCCAGTGTTACAGAACCGAAGCAAATAGGTAAAAACATAAAAGCTCGCCTAAGGCATTATGATAAAGATAATTGATTATTTCGAACTTAGTTTCCTTGTACATGTATCTTTTTTGTAGATAGTTTATTAGTTAAAAGAAATTTGATTTGCAAGTAAAACTTCAAATAACATCAACGGTACCCATTTTATTGCACCAGATGCGCTTGTTGATAATTCATGTCTCTTCAGGGAGGCCAAACTATTTGAATATCAAAAACATTATAAAAACGGTGAAGAGTTGATAAAATCAAACAGGACCAAATGTAATGCCAAATCCAGAAGAGAAAAGAGCTATGCAATGTATCGCAAAAATAGATTAGTCCCAAGTTAGTCGAAATTAGATCGGATTCTCCTAGATACAATACTAATCATTATAACCTTTTTCATAGCATGCAATAATTTAAATTCATTATTTCATAATTCAAATTAAACCCTTGTAGTTTGAGAGACATATAAACAAACAAGATAAAGAACGGAAAGATACGCCGTAACCAACAGTCATTAAGTTTCCTACATATCTTTGTAAAATGACGACTATATTTCACTTTCACTATAAGTAAGTATTCTATAAAGTGCAAAGGCTTTATATAATTCATTACCATTCACTGTTAAAATTGTGGAGCTAGAAAATTCTGTGCCATTAATTTTCACCACGCATTTGTACTCTCCTTCATCTTGAGGATTGCAGTGAGCTATTTGAAGAGTGGACATATTCCATCGGTTCATACCTTCTACTGATCGGACGTAAGTTCCTTCTATGTAATGCTTCCAAATACATGTCCATCGTTCAGTAGTTGTAACATTAATGAAACATTTTAATACAGCTGTGGATGACACATTGCATTCGGTATGTGCTGCTGACACACTTACTGGAATATCTTAATTGAAAAAAGAAAAAGAAATAACCATCTTGTATAAATATAAACATACTTAATTATATATAAACGTCGGCCATAGTTGTCTTTCTGATTTTGTTTTATATCTCACCCCTTTTTTTTCATTGATTTTGTATTTACATTGTGTCATAGATCAAATTTATTCGTTCAGTGTATGTTTACTTGTCTTTTGATTGAGTTAAGCCATTTTAATTGATATTTTATAGTATGTCTTTCTATGTTGTGATGTTACACTATTATTTCAGGTTAAGATGAAGGTTGGCGCCTGTTAAAACGTTTAAACCCGCTGTATTTATTTGCACCTGTCCTAAGTCAGGAACCTGTTGTTCAGTGGTTGTCGTTTGTTGGTGTGGTTCATAAGTGTTTCTCGGTTCTTGTTTTTTTATATATAATAGACCATTGGTTTTCCTGTTTGAATGGTTTTACACGAGTCATTTTAGGGGCCCTTTATAGCTTGCTGTTCGGTGTGAGCCATTGTTCCGTGTTGAAGGCCGTACTTTGACCTATACTGGTTTACTTTTACAATTTGTGACTTGGATGGAGAGTTGTCTCATTGGCACTCATACACATCTTCTTATATCTATTGATTAAATGAAACAATACAAATTTAAGAACATATTTATATGAACCATTATCATTTTGTTCTATATGTGTCTTTTTAATGTTTGTTTTTGTGTGTATCTGTATTTTTGCTGTCGTTGGGTTGTATATGCCAAATGCCCTACCAAGTAATGGTTAAATCCGCAGCTTTTTTATGCATCTGTCCTAAGTCAGGAGGCTGTTTTTTTGTGGTTGTCGTTTGTTGGTGTGGTTCATAAGTGTTTCTCGTTTCTCGTTTTTCATATAGATAAGACCGTTGGTTTTCCCGTTTGAATTGTTTTACACTAGTCATTTTGGGCCCTTTATAGCTTGCTGTTCGAAGTGAGCCAATGCTTCGTGTTGAAGGCCGTACTTTGACCAATAATTGGCACTCATACCTCATCTTCTTATTTACATTAATTGGAAAATATAATCAAGTCAAACTCCGAAGTAGAATTTTTGTTTGTTTATTACCTTTGTTTCTCTCTTTTTAATGGATTTATGAACATTGAAAAACTACTGTAGACTAAACCTCTACTTATAAACAATTCATATATTGAAATAGTCCATTAAAGTTCATACGCTATGTAACGACGAAATTATATATTTTCAGAGCAATATAAGTCTCAACACACCTGACTGATATACGTTGACTTTTATGTCAATGCTTCCGGCGGCATTTCTAATTCTAGCTCCGTATATACCAAACTCCTCTTGTAGTTTTGGAACGACAGTGGAGCTCAAGATGAAAATTGAAGAATTTCTATTTTTTCTTATATCCCATATTCCTACTGTTCCGCCAACCGAAAATACCCAGAGAGCAATTGGTTTCTCAAAGCTCTCGACATGAATCAGAATTTTTGCTGGATTGTTTAGCATCGTCTCAAACGTGTAGTTTGCACTCAAAGTATGTGGCTTATCTGTCCGAAAAATACGTAAACAATTTAAGGCAATTGTGTCAATTTTTTTTTTTTGGTTTTAATAATTGTCAGAAAATTATTACCTTATTATGCAATGAACATGTCGAGATTTAATTCATTTTATTTTCAGAAGATGTTTTTCTTATCTACACATCTGATTGATTCAGTCGTTCCAACTGTTTTCAGTCCAATGTTTGTCTGCCTTATTCTGAATTCATATCTTTGTTTCATGGATTTACACAGCAACAACAACAACAACAACAACATTTGACTGATTAGAGTGATTTTGGGCATGTATAATAGTGTGTGTATAAAATTGAGAATGGAAACGGGGAATGTGTCAAAGAGACAACAACCCGACAAAAGAGCTGAAAACAGCACAAGGGCACCAATGTGTTAGTAACTGTTGAACCAAAAAACGAGTGTGGACATCAACTGTTTACACTTGAAGAGAAACAGATAACATCGTTGGTTTAAGTGGTAATTTTGGTATTCTAAAGTGGTTTGTATGCGAATCGAAATTTTCTTTTAACATGTTTAATGAAATATTGTTTTAGTTTATTTATTCATTTATTAGTTTAAATCAGATTTTTTTTAAGAAAAACAAATTATTTATTTATACCTCATTCTGTTAACATACTCAAATATTTATTTGTATATCAAATTGCAAATTTTCGAAGTTGTACATAATTATGTATTTGCATATCAGATAACTTCTCCATCAATCGATACAGCAAAAGGTTTAGATCTTCATTTATTTGTACTAATCTACTTACATGTAACTAGAATGCTGGTTCTATCGCTTCCAGTTCCAATCCTATTTGACACAAGACATTCGTAAGAACCTGACTCATTTCTAGAAACATTTATAATGTCAAGATGAATATTTTGATGGGATGCCATTGTTCCATTTGCAATTAATAAATCATTTCGCCGCCATCTGTATGTGATCGGATGAACATTTGTATGATACTGACACTTAAGTGAGGACGAACTACCTTCAAGTATGTCTTGTCTGGTTAAGTCCGTAAGAATCATTACTTTTGGAATAACTGGTAATTGAGAAAAAGAAAAGATAATCGATGAATATTTTGTATTTATTATAGATAAAATGTATAGCTTAATTTTCTCTTCCAAATTGCTACTTTTTCAACAAGTTTAATTCTAATACTTTCTTTCGACTTTATTTAAGAAGTGACACATTATTTTATAATATTTTTGGAACGTTTTTGATTATTTGTTTATTATGATTTATTATTCGACATACCCGTGTAGTAATATATAGGTAGTTTTCGTAACTTTTTTACTGTTCATTCATCTGTGTTTTATCCTGTTAATTAGCTCATCTTGGGAAAAGGAAGTAGTAGGTTGATTTGTCTAAGAATGTGCATTTATGTTTTGTCCTTTAAGGAATGTATTTGTTGATGCTTCATCTCTGATAGTCATTGTTACAACATAAGTCATTTGTTCAAGTTATTTATAGATCGCCAGCAAACTCTGTTTTTGACAGGACCACTTCGATATGAACATTACAATCAACGACAAGGTTTCGCGATGCGTAGCTTCTCTTTCATGATTTGAAGACTCAAGTTTAGTTTGTTTCGATGAATTGAAAACCAAAGTGTACAAAATAGACTGCAAAAAAAATATACAATTTATGAAATTGATATTCGACGGCCTATAAAATCGACTCGATAAGCTATAATCAAGATAAGATTATATGCCGTATTCTAAATATTCATAGCTCTTGACGTCAAAATGAAAGGATCTTATCTACTTATATTGAAAACATGCTTTCTAGCATTATAAATTTGCTCACAATATTTCTAGATAAGTGGTGATTAAAAAAATCTCATATGAGGTAAAGATATATGAAAATTTAAAAGATGTTCAAAGGCTGAATTATTTTTATATGGCTAAAGATTTCCTGCATACTTAACATTTATATATCTTTTGGTTTTATAATTATAATTGGTTGCTTTTTTCATATAGATATGTGACCTACGTTCAACATGTATTTGAATGCTTTGATGAACAGGAATTTCGGTGCCGCTGTTATTCGCTACACAGGTGAAATTAGCCATATGGTCATCACGGAATGGCCGGAAGGAATAAGATATATTTTCAGGTCCTCCGACAGCTATTGTGTCATTTCCACGTGTCCAC